GGTGGGGCCTTGCAAATTCAAAGACGGGCCCGACGACAACCTCGCTTCGAAAAAGAGCCGCACTCCATCCGTGTAAATCCGCAGACGTGTCCTGAGGCACGAGTTGGAGTGCCCACAGGTCCTTGGAGCCCCCAGTCCTCATTTCGAAGGTAAGAGAAGGGTCCAGACTCCAAATCGGCGGATTTCCCGGGGCGTCCCGCGTGTTTCCGCGTGACTTTTCCAGAGCCACGGGGCCCAACTACGAGCCTAGGACGGCACGAGGTCCCCGAGTCGGTCCAAGAGGGCCCCGAGTCAGCTCAAGGGCGATCGAAGATGCCCAAGGTGACCCAAGACGGCCCCAGAGGCCCCCAAGGCGCCCTACGAGGGCTCCAAGAGGCAGCCCAAGACCCAAGAGGGCCCCAAAAGGCCAACATCATTGACTTCACGTCGGCTTTGGAAAACTTTGGCGGTGCCACCCTTTCGGGTGTCTGGCCGACCAAGCACGCCCCAAAACCAAGGCCGCGCTAACGGCGTGCTTGGTTAACGGTGCGGTTGGGAATCTGGTTTTGTGACACCGAGCTCACGAAGAACAAAATGTAGGCAATCACGTGAAAGGCCGTTTCCTACATCTCAAATCTGCAAATGTACCGAACGAAACCGACACGGCGAGTCGTAGGAAAACACGCACCCCGCGTTCCTACAAGCGGTTTGGCCACGAACCGCGCTTTCCTACAATTGGATGTCATATTTCGCCGTTAACTAACACACCGTTAGCGCGTCTAGGGGTACGTCGGGCATGTCCCGACTACAGGCAGATCTTCTACGAAGTATAAAAATTATCACATACTTACAAATAATAAAACATAGTAAACATATATATATATATAAACAAAAAAAAACGTCCCCATACTGTTGTTTCACATGTTTTTGCGTATTCCTCCTGTAGAGGGACACGCCCGACTTTACGTTAGCGCGTCCACGGCAAGAGGCCCCCAAGATGCGCTCCCAGGAGGAGGGCCTGACGCCCTGTGTGCGGCGCCAAACCTCGGGCGTGCCGGCAACTGCCCCGTCGAGGTCGACGCGTCGAGGCCCTCCGCCTCAGAAGGAATCAGGCACAGTCAAGAAATGCTCAAACATACTCAAGACAGACTCAAAAGTAGCCTGGACATAATCAAGAAATGATCAAACACAGTCAAGCAATGCTCAACAATAATCTAGACATGCTCAAACATTGCCTCAACTAGTCAATCCAAAAATACACCCAAATAGTCAAAATTAGTCTAGAAATATTCACAAATCGTTCCCGAACTATTGAATGACTATTTTTGAACATTCCTTCTCTTGAGGGACAGGCCCGACGTAAGGCTAGGGGTAGCTAATTCCCAAACGGCGCCAGCGCGAATCGTGACGTTACCGGGGCCCCCTCGCCCCCCCTCCTCGCCCCCCCCTCCCCTCCTCCAGTAACGGCCGTTGTCGCCAGGGGATGCAGGACGGGCCTGACGAGTGGCTCCGAGGGCGGATGGACAGGTGCGCGTTTTCTTATTCGGCGTTTCGACATTATGCGGAAGGGCAGGGAAGGGGGGGGGTCTGGCTCCGGACCTCTGCTTAGTGCGACTGCTTGCAGCAGTGCGTCCTATGGGGTAGAGGCTCCACCTGCTCGAAACAGACGCCCAAAACAGCCAAGATCTACTCCAAGGGGGGTGGGGAGTGGGGGTCCGAGGGCCCGCGCCGATCGGCAAAACAATGAACAAAAAACGATCACCAGCAGGCGACCATGAGCCAAGAGCCCCCCAGAAGCTCCAGGAGGCCTCCAAGAAGCCCAGATCAGACCACACGAGGCCCCCCCGCAAACCCCCAACACTCCTGATCCGCCTCCAAGAGGCTTCTGGAGAGGCCACCCAAGAGATCCCCACAGGCATCCGATAGGATGACCTACAACCACGACTCGGTGGCGGTGTGGGCCGAGGGCCATTAGAGAGAATCGCTGCACAGTGCGCAAGTCAAGGTCATACACCTTACTGAATCTCCAGCGAGAAACACACGTTGAAAAGGAAATCGCTTTCCACCCGTGTAACTGCTGTACGAGTTCATTCCAGTGGCACTACATGTCCAGAGAGTCTCAAACGAGTTTGTTTCACGACGAGCGCGCGCGGTGCTAATGCGACATTCGCAATAGTTGCCCTCCATGCGTGTAACTGTCGGATGTGTTCCCATACAAAAAGCTGGTCTATAAGGGTCCAATCCCGTAAACGGCTTGTCTGCAAGGGTCCCGCCTAATTATTCGTGTATCGCTGGATCGAGAATCCGTCGAACGCCTTGGTGTCGCGTGGTCCCCCGTGGTCTCGTGTGGCCTCTTGTGGACTCCCATCGCATCATTACCGTTCCGATTCGTATTACAAGCAATATCAGCAATAGCATGAGCATTCGTGCCAATATTCGTAATAAGTTGTTTTCGTGGTAGTCGCAATGGTGTGAGCATTTCGTATCGGTCGTAGAAATACGAATCCCAGTCGTAGCAAAAACCTTGACATTCTTGATGATAGTGTAACTCGTAGCAATACAATACTCTTGGGCTGTGCTAGCCCGTGCTGTACTACCGCGTGCCCCCAAACACTATGATATCATAAACACGCTATACGGTACCGACAAGAACACTCAAGGATACACAATATCATATCAACATGTACCGTAATACAATATCATGTGGTCCCTCTAGGTGTCTCCGTTCATGCCCCTCTGGCCAATGTTCAAAGATGGTTCGGATTTTCTGCCGCAAAGGTGTAACGTAAGACGAATGTACGCTAAACCAAGGCGACAACCCCATCTTGAGCACCGTCCGCCCATCATCCGCGAAACCATTGGGAACTTCGAGCTTCAACCCCATAGGCGAAGAGGGCATCTCAAGCACAACGCCCAGCACTCCCTGACGACTCGTCTGGTGGTGCGACAGGTCAGGGGCATTTTAAGGAGGAGGGATGCAGGTATACGAGGAGGAGGAGGTGGACGAGGAGGAGGACGGGGAAGGAGGTGAGAGGAGGTGAGAGGAGGAGGTGAAGGAGGAGGAGGAGGAACGCTGTGCGACGACGTAAGCCGATAACCGAGCGCACTTCCAATGTAACGGTTGATTGCTTGATCACTTCGCTGCGTGGGAGGCCAGGACTGGAGGAGGGGGGAGGAGGAGGGGAGGTGGACGAGGAGGAGAAGGGAGGAAGAGAAGGGAGGAGGCGAGGAGGAGCATGGAGGAGGTGAGGAGGCGAAGGAGGGCGAGGGGCGAGGGAGGTGAGAAGAGCGAGGGGAGGAGGCTTCCGCCTGACAGGCAGGGGGCTCCGGCGGCTCTCCTGGGCGGGCGCCCGAGACGGGCCCGTCGGCCGGCGCCGCCTCGGCCAGGGAGACCTACCGACCCTTCGGACATCCGCCGCAGCTTGAGACTTCGGGCCCCCGACGACGACGACGACGACGACGACGACGACGACGACGACGACGACGACGACGACGACGACGACTCCCCCCCCCCCCCCCGCCCAAGCTGACGTCGCTGGAGCGGTTGGACCCCCGCGGGGGCGTCTGGCACAGCCCGGGGCGGCGCTGGCCGTGCACGCCGGGCCGGCCTGCGGCAGAGGGGGCCGGAGATCTCCGCCTCGGAAGGGCCGACGATGCTCACAGCGCGTGTCGGCGCCAAGGTGTGCTTGTCCGCCGGGGCTTCTGTTAATCCCATCGTACTTCAGGACCGCATCTCGGAAATAATTTCGAGCACGCAGGAAAGTGTCGAAACAGTGTCGAAGCAGTGTCGAAGCAGTGTTGAAACAGTGTCGAACGAGTGTCTCCCAGGGCCCGATTCGTGATAATCCTTGAATTTCGGTACTTTCTTGGTGCTCGAATTTTTGTCTCGTTGGAACATCATAAAGCGAGGCCCTTCTACACGACGCAGGCGATGTAATCATCTGCGGGTGTGGCTGAGCGGGGCAGCACACACACACACACACACACACACGCACATTGGGCTAACACACGTCCTGATGATAATCGAAAGAAACAGGGCGGATCCTGGCGCTTCTGCGCAGCAGTATGGCGTACACGGCGACTGCCTCAAACAGGGCGGCAATCGACATCACAGGAGATTGAAACGCAGACGGGAACTTCCGCCCTGCTTACGCGATCGCCCAGAGAACGGCGGACCCGAAGTCAGGGGAGGGGAGAGGGGGACAAGCTTCCTGTTCTTCCCGAGGCGAGCGAGGGGAGCGAGCCTTGGCATAAAGGAAACGGGTCCTGTGGGAAACGGGACTGGGAAACGGAAACGGATCCGAGGTCAGGGGAGGGGGAAGGGGGACAAGTTTCCTGTCTTTCCCGAGGGGAGCGAGCCTTGGCACGACGGACACGGGTCCTGTGGGAAACAAGACCCGGACCCCAAGGCCTTCCCCGAGGACCGGCTCTTAGCTGGCCCCGAGCCGCTGCCCAGCGGCCCCGGGGGCCCGCGCAGGGCCCCGATAGGGCACGACCACGGCGAAGAGAAAAGCCTATAGGGACCCGCTTCCCCGCGGGACCCGCTGCCCTGGCGACCCCCGGGGGAGAGCGAGAGGGCGGAGAGAGGAGGGAGGAGGAGGAGGAGGAGGAGGAGGAGGAGGAGGAGGAGGAGGAGGAGGAGGAGATGGAGGAGGAGGGAGGTGGAGCAGGAGGTGTAGGAGGCGGAGGAGGAGGAGGAGGAGGAGGAGGAGGAGGAGGAGGAGGAGAGCGGAGAGCGAAGCCGGAAGCGCTGGCGGAGGTGCGGCCTCGGCCTCGCGAGGCAGGGGCTTTATCGGCCCCGCGGGCGCAAAGGGGGGCGGGCGCGCGCTCGCAGGCGGCAAACGCGAGGAGGAGCGCCGGCGGGGCCCGCGGCTGCTCTGGGCCCGGAGGGCCCGCGTCCGCTCGGAGACGAGAGCAGGGGGAGAGGAAGGCAAGGGGGAAGGAAGGACGAGGAGGAAGGAGGAAGGAGGAAGGATGAGGAGGAAGGAGGAGGGGGGGGGAGGAGGAGTGAGGAGGCGAGCCTTCGGCCAGCGCCTCCATCTCCTGCTCCGGCGTCATGCCGTAGCCCATGGAAAGGGCCAGCCCGGGCTGCGACGCTATTGTCGCGGCTTCGACGACACCTGGCCACCCATCATCTGCGCACCTTCTTCGCTGCTGCTGATGCACCTGTCCTCTCCCTCCTGGTTCCTGGCTCCTGGTTCCTAGTGGCATGAGGTCCCTGTGGGTGCTGCCTCAATCTCCCCCGTCTTCCTCCTCCTCCTCCTCCTCCTCCTCTTCCCCATTATCCTGCTTCCTCATTATCACCCCTCCTCCTCCTCCTCCTCCTCCTCCTCCTCCTCCTCTATTACATACTCTCCCCTTCCTCCACTTACCCATCCCATGCTATTGTTGCTGATCCTCCTCCCCTCCCCCTCCTCCTCATCCCCATCATCGTCATCAGCATCATCACCATCACCATCACCATCACCATCACCATCACCATCACCATCACCATCACCATCACCATCACCACCACAACCACCGTCATCGTCATCATCATCATCATCATCATCATCATCATCATCATCATCATCATCAGCATCATCATCATCATCATCATCATCATCATCATCATCATCATCGTCATCATCATCATCATCATCATCAGCATCATCGTCATCATCGTCATCGTCATCGTCATCATCATCATCATCATCATCATCATAATCATAATCAACATCATCATCACCGTCACCAATATAATCACCATCATCATCACCATCACCACCACCACCATCATCATCATTATCATAATCCGCAACATCTGTAGCATCATCATCATCGACGACGATGACAGTGCCGCACCCCCGGCGGGCTGGAGGAACAACGAGGAAGAAGAGGAGGACCAGTGTAAAACCAAGAATCATCAACGATGTTGAAATAAACCTTCCATCTAAGCGCCCTCTTCATAGGCCCTTATAACGGTTCATTTCCACTGAGGGAACTGTCTCGTTTGAAGGCAACCGTTTGAAGACCCTGAAGCAAACCAAACCATTGTTCTCGGGACTCCAACGCCACGAATCAACCTGACGGTTGCATACGAGTGCTCCGGAATCGTGCCAGAACGCCAATCCTGAGACTTCAGCACCGCGAGCCAACATAACCGATGCAACCTCATAATCCGGAATCCGTTCCAAACACCATTTCTGGCATGATGATCATGGGGATCCGCGAAGCTCTCGCAACTCTAAAAACCAATGTGCACGGCGCTCAGGCGGGGACCACATTTTGGAAAGAAACAACCATCAATCCGTGAAGCGCTTGCAATTGTTCAAAACAAAACGAAAACCACATTTTGAAAATCACCAGCCCTCGATCCGTGAAATTCTTCCACACGTTAGAACCGAATGTGCGCGGCGCTAGGGCGAAAGCCGCACAATTTTGAAAACCACCCGCTTTCAATTAGCGAAACTATTGCAAACTTCAAACAAGAATATGCGCGGCGCTCAAGGGCGAGAGCCACATTTGCAAACCACCCGCCCTCAATCCGGGAAGCTCTTGCAAACTTCTGAACATAATATCGCGGCACTAGGGCGAGAGCCGCATTTTGAAGACCACCCGCCCTCCATCTGCGAAGCTGCTGCCAATGTTCAGCGAGGAGGAGGAGGAGGAGGAGGAGGAGGAGGAGGAGGAGGAGGAGGAGGATTAAATCAATTAAATGTTGAGCGGCACGGGAGTCGCGCAAGGGACCCTAGTCCGAGGAGCTGGAGGGGGAGAGAGGCGGACGGGGGGCCCGCCTGGCCGATGCCGCGGGCGGCACCGATGCCGACGACGCCGATGTCGCGGCGGGCGGCGCGGTCCCCGCCCTCCTCCAAAGGCTCCCCAGACTGGGGCGAGCACGAGCGCGCGCGCGGCGCTCTGGGCGGCGCCCAAGTGGGCCGCCTCCGGCGCAGCCCTCGAGGGCCCATTGTGGGAAGGGTGCAAGCCCTTGGCCACGCGGGCAAGGACCTCTCTCCCCGAGGGGACGGCTCGTCACAGGGCCGCAGGAACTTCGCAACAGTGAACGCGGCATGACAGGCGCAGCTCGTGCAAGACAAGGCGCGCCATCGAGAGATCTCACGTAGCTTGTGGGGCGCATAGGCCGTCTGGCCACGAAGCGCCCCCCCGCCCGCCTCCACCACCGCGGCCCCCCCGAATCGAAGAGGCCCCCTCTCCTGCGGGGACGCAGACGCAGGAGTGGCGGGTGGGCCAGGGCAGGGGGCGAGCGCAGCGGCGCCCGACCTGCAGCCATCAACGAGAATCGCGCAGACATCGCACCTCCATTTGTCGGCGCGCTTTGCAGAGCGGCGGGCGAAGGATTGGAGGCAGTGGGAGCAGGCGGAAGGCATGGGTGTCCTCCGAACAACCCCCACACAAAACCTTATCAGAGCCAACGCTGCGAATTACGGCCGTCGCTCGAGCGCGGGTGAGCGCAGCGATGGAGTCCCGCATGTCCGCGCAAGGGGCGGGTTCGCAGAATGACCCCTCATTATGGGCGGCTCCTCTGCCGGTCCGCGCGTCAGCGACAACGCAGGAAGAGGCGGGCAGTGGCGATGTCTCGGCAGGCCCCCCGCAAGGGCCTTCCCGAGGCATCAGAACCCACCGCCCCCCCCCCACCCCCTCCCCGCGGAGGGCAGGAGGGGGCAGTGGAGGAGAAGCCAGGCGCGCCGCGGAGCCACGGGGCAGGGCCCTGCTCAAGGCCCGCAAGGGCCTGAGGCACCGTGCGCTCACTCGCAGAGACCTCGGGGCCCTCATTAGCTAGCTGAGCACTTCCAGAGCCTGCGGGGGAGGTCCTCTAATTACGGCCTCAGACTCACAACGGCCGCGCCCACGAACAACCTTGCACCCTGCGCAATGGAGGCGGCCCCTGGTTCACTGGCCTCCTGAGACAACAAGACCATTCAACGCCCATGGCAATGTTTTTCTTCGTGCAAGGAAGCGCCTCTGCTCAGTCTCGATGGCGGCGAGGCTGGCTCCAGCGGCGAGGGGCGACCCGTCCTCGCCCACAGCGGCCGCGGCCCAAAGTCCGCGCTGGAGGTCGTCGCCGACATCGTCGAGGACGTGCCCGTAGTCCAGGTCGACCAGCTCCGCTCTATCGTCTGGGAGTCTCCATTCCTCCAAATAGTCATCACGCACTCTCTGCCGGCGGTCTGCCTTTTTGGGGCCCCATCCAGCTTCGAGCAGCGTCGCCATAGCAGCGCCCGCATGTCCAGTGGCGCGTGACCAGATCCTGGGGCCCGCGGTGATCAGACATGTCTTGATGAGAGCCCGCGCGCGTCTTATGCGCTGATGAAACCACAGTTGATCTTGCAACAGCAAATCAATTGACGGAGCAACTGCTGTCAGAGCTGCACGCCTGGGCCCACGCCCTCGAAGGTCGCCCCGAGGACCGCGGTGAAACGGCAGCGGCCAGCTGCCTGCCCAGTGGCTGCCGCCGCCGCCAGTCGCCTCCATCGCAGTAGAGCATGACGCGCGAGTCCACGAATCCGGCGCCCGTGGACCCCCTGCGGGAGCGAACCCGCGGCCCACGGCCCCTCGGCAATCCGCGCCTGCTGAGCAGTGCGCCTCACGCGTGCAGTCCGCGTCGCGCGAGCTGAGGCCGCGCGCGCGCTCGATCGCCTTCTTCTGGATCCTGCGCGTGCCAGCACAGGCGTCGATGCCCAAGTCGGCGGCCGTCGTAGTAGCCGAGGCTGGCAGGCCTCGGCGACGACGGCCTCACTCAAGGTGCACTCGCACGGCACGGCTGTTGGAGAGGACCACAGTCTTGTCGGGGACAGGTAGGGGGGCGTGGTCCAGGGCGACTTTCAGCTCACCGCCTGCCTTGACCAACCTGACTGTCACCAAACGAGCCGCGCCCTCAGCCCGAGCGACCGCGTCGCCCACGAAAGTCCGCAATGCGGCCCCCTCGGCATTCCGCTGCGCATGCGCAAGGACCGGGAGGAAAAAGCGCGCCGGAATCACGCCAGGCGGCGATCCCGCCACGATGCCCCGCAATGCCCAGGTGGGCTCGGCAACCCAGCCTCTGGATCCGAGAACCCTGGGGCTGAGGAAAAGCTAAGCCTCCAACAGTAGACGAATCGTAGGGAACTCTCTATTCAAAACGACATCAATGAGCCTGCCCAACTTCGCATGATCATTGAACTCGGCCGGACCCGATAGCAACGCGCCCACCGTGAGGCCAATCGCCGCGGCAGACTCATCTGAAGACGCTCGACGCAATGCCGCCGACAGCGCCGGAGAGCCCACCGTGGCCGTGCACCAGAAGTCATGTGGACCGTCGCTCCAGAAGTCAGGAGCCGCTGAGCGAACGCGGCTACGCGCGCGAGCCAATGGGGGGGGCGCCAAGCACGCGATCCCACCTGCTTTCTATGGAGCCATCGCAGCGAGCATCGCCATGACTCGCGGGGGCCAGGTGCCCCCGGACTCAACAGCGCGCGTGACTGACGCATACTCGTTCAACGCCTCGGCAGGAAGGCGAAGGAGGTCACGGGGGTCCATCGCGCCGACCCCCTCGGCCATGGCCCCTGGCATGATCCTCGGGGTGCTGGCGAGCACGCCCGCGGTGATGGGTTCAGGTGGGCCATCCCGAACTTTCGAGCGAGCACGCTGCAGGGCCGACGCGATGTCCGCCAGCTGCTCGCGAGGGTGCCAGACCTTCATCCACTGGTTCCTCTTCTCCGTCATGATGGCAGCTGGGTTGGAGATGGTCTGGTCGCACGCCAGTATCTCCAACTGCCGCTGTTACTGCGGCCTGACCTGTCGACGCAGGACCCCGGGCTTAGATTTCCACATCTCGGAGCGCCAGGCCGCGCACTTCACTTCGCTGTGATGCGCTGCGCGAGCAGCCGCACGTCCTGTCCAAGCGTCGGTGGTATTGATGAGCTCGTCTCTCTCCTCGTCGTCAAAATCTGGGGGGGGGGTACGTGCGAACTCTGACCATCTGAATACTTCCTCCTCCCCAGCCACGCGCAGGGGCTCGTCGCGCTTCCTGTCCAAGTCGTAGCGCCTGGCCATGAGCTTGTCGGCGGTCACCCCGAAGAGGTCAGCGTGCTTGTTGCGCCTGCGCAGCGCCGGGGACCTCGTGACTAATGTAGCTGTGGTGGCCCATCATTCAGCAGGCTTGCGCTTGATGTGAATGCGTCAAGGGGATGCTGGTGTCTTCTTCCAGGTGAAACGAAATCCCTCGGGGCGCCCCTGGAACTGGGCCCGCTGATCCTCGGGGATGGAACGTTGTTGCATGGCCGCCAGCTCGATGCATCGCGTCCACCTGGCATAAGACGACTGAACATTGCGCGCAACCCTCGGCTCTAACTCGTGCGGGAAATGCGCGGGGAGCTCCCAGGACTGCGAATCGCTGGGACCTGCCAGTGCCGATCCAAGACTGCGAACTGCCTGCCCCGTTGCACCTGGGGAATCAGCCCCTTGCCCCTGGAGGGGGGGGGGGGGGGGGGGCGCGCGCCCCGGCGCATTGTAATATCGGCGCCGCCCGCGCGGGCTCTTCGGGCCTGCCCCCCCCCCCCCCCCCCCCCCTCCGCACCCCTGGCGTAAAATCGCCGTCGCTGGCGCCGTCGACGTCGCGCGCGCGTCTATCTCAAAAGACATCTGCCCCCTCCCCCAGCGAGTCGGCTTCGCGGGCCTCCCCGCGGGGGCGCCTCGAGCGGCGCCCCTACTCAGCCTTCCCGGAAGGGGGGGCCGCGCCATTGACGTGGAGCGAGCCCCCGTCGACGACCCCGCGGCGGTCGCCGCGGCCCCCCCCCCCCTGACTCGAGCCAGAGCTCGCGCCGCAAGTCTAATGGGATAGCGAAGTCCGCTCCGCAAGCGGAGTCGACGTCGCGCGCCGGCGGTGGCTCAGGGGGCGCGTCGACCTCAGGATCCTGGGGGATCTGCTCAAAGGCCTCCTGCAAGTGATGAGGGAGTATACTTGCTGCCGTTGCTCCAACGCTGCCTCCTTGCGAATGGGGCTCTCGCCGCCGGGGTCCGCCTGCTTCCCGGGCGCTGAGGGCGCGGGGGCTCGCCGGGAAGTGCGAGCGCCAGGTGGCTCCGCGGTTGCGAGCCCCCCGCAAATACTTCGACGCAACAGCGCGCGCCCCAAGGCACCGCATGGACCTGTCGCAAGACCTGCGCGCGCTCGAAACCTCGCTTCGCCACCGCGAAGTCGATGGTCGAGCCTGCCCCAGTGTCGCAAGTGGCCGTGCCCGGGGCCGCTGCAATAGATCTGCCCCACTCCTCAGGGTAGCCGCTCTCAGCCAGCCGTTGAGGTGACATGTTCCAATCTCGAAGAATGAGCCCCGGATCAGCCAGCATGTCCAACGCGCAGCAAGAGCCAACATGCGCTCGCGCATAGGGTCCACAATGGCATCATGCGGTTCAAAGTAGCAGGCAATGACCACAATATTGCCTGTGCGCCCGTGCCAGGTCATAGGGGCAAAGCCGTGACAGGGGTCGACGGCCATCTCTTTGCGACTCTGCTGGTGGCGGCCATCGGAGGTGGAGGCCGCAGATAACCTGCGTGCCAGCACCGTCTCGCCGCGCGTGACACCCTCCGCGGAGCGGCCCATGAACGTCGCGTCGCCACGTGAGGACTTCCAACCGTTCGTGTCAATATTGAGGAACTCCTGCTCAGCGCGTGCCTTCGAGATACGCTTCCCGACCATCGCAACTAACTGGTGCTGCTTACCCGCACTCGCCAGCCATCGCTCAGCCTGCGGGCCCCGCTGTGATGTTCGCGCAGACCAGGGGGGCCGACTCATCAGACTTGCCGGCCGCGCCACCCCTGAGTAGGGGGAACCTTGCCCACAGACTTGGGAGGGGCCTTGGCTGGCGCCACCTTGGCGGGGGGCGCAGAGGGCGGGCCGCCGCCGGCGGCGGGCGGGCGGGCGGCCGCAGCTTCCGTGGCCGCATGCGAGAGAGAGGTCGCTGCCAAAGCCCTGAGCCGCTCGGGGTCGACCTCGGGCGGCGATGGGGCCGCGCTGGCCGCGGCGCCTTGGGCTCGGGGGGCGCCGCTCCCGACGCCGCCACCGAGGTGCCCGCCGATGCCGAGGAGCCCCCGAGGGTTCATCCTGCGCTTGGCAATTCTTTCCTGGTTGAACTCCTGGATGGGCTCCATGAGGTCCTGGAGCTTCTGAACGGCCGTCTCGAGCTGAGGGCGGGCCGCGTCGAGCTCCTTCTTGCACTGCATGAAAGTGTTCTTCTCATTATCGTCCATGTCCTTCGGTTCGGCGATCTAAAAGATGTCGTAGCCAATGGCGATCTTGATGCCGACTGCCAATGGGTCGCGGACCTGCTCATGCTGCAGCGTCTGGAAGGCCTGCTCGCAGGCGGACTCCGCGGTCGCCTGCTCCGGTCTTCTGGACATGGACTTCGTCGGCTGCATCCAGCTCGCCGCGGGCCCGTAGCACCACCGCAGCTGCTTTCTGCGCCGCCAACTCTGCCTTGTGCAACTCCTGCTTCGCCTTCTGAGCCGCCATCCAAGCATCCATGGGTGGGGGTTTCTTGGCCTGGGCCTGGAAGGAAGCGCTGGTGGCCTCGGTAACCTCAGGAGGAAGGCCCAAGGCCTGGAGGAGGTCGCGCATCTGCTTGCTACTCGCGTTCGGCTCGGGGCGGCTGGCTGGGGTACTTGTCGACCGGCTGCTTCCACGGACTCCACAGGTCGACCTTGTGTCCACGAGGCGACAAAGCGAGAAGACAACAACTATTGGTGTTCCTTCGGCTTTTGAAGGCTTGGGGTGGTCCTCGGAGGGTTCGGAGGGCACTTGAAACCCTCTTGGGACCATCTTGAGGCCTCTTGGATGCGTGCCGGAGGCTTTCATGAGCCATTCTGACCCATCTTGAGCCATCTTGGGGACTCTGGGGCCCTCTTGGGGCCATCCTTGGCAAAAAAAAACGTTCTGACACATCGGGGCCCCCGCCGTCCAGACCCAGGGAGGGGGGGGGAGGTAAACCTCCCGAGCAGGGAAAGGAAGGAGGTTGGAAAAAGAAGCGCCCTAGACCACCTGCACCCAGAGGGCTGGCAGCACCCGTCGCTGGCGATGAGCTGTAGTTCCGGATCCAATTCTGGCAGCCCACACGCCGATTCCATACACGCCCATGCTTCTTTCCTATAGCGACTGCTCCTCGAGTGAAGGAGGGCAGGCGACAGAGTGGGCCGGACCACCCCTCGCAGAGACAAATGAGGCTAGCCGCGGACTAGCGGCATCCACGTGTTCCGCAGGGGAACCAAGCATCGTGAGCCACAATGGCCACGGAGGACGAGGAGGAGGGGGTGGGGAGGAGCAGGGGGAGGAGGAGGGAGGAGCCAGAGGAGGATGAGAAGGATGCACCAAAGCACCCCCTGGCGGGCCCTGTGCGGCGGCGCCGCCGCTCCGCAACGCCGCGGCGGCCGCGGCCACGCTGCCGGGGTCCTCGCCGCCGCCGGTCGCCTGGCGCGCCGCGGGCGCGGGGCGCGGCGGAAGCCCGGCCGCCTCGGGAGGTCCACCGTGCCTCACGGTGGGCCTGCAGGCGAGCCCGGACGCTTCGTCAGTGCTCGACGCTCGAGGCTCGGACCCAGCCAGGAGGCCCAGAGACAGGCAGAGCAGGAGCTCCTCGCCGCACGGCCACAGCGCGGGCCACCGGGCCGGCCCATCGTGGCAAGGGCGGCCGGCCAGATCGGGGCGGAGCTATCTATGTGCCCTCCCTGCGCAGGCCTGGTCGTGCGCAAGGGTTTGGCGGCGGGCGCGCACAAGGGGGGTGGAGGGAGGGGGGGAGGGCTTCTTAGCAGGAGGCTGCTTCTTAGAAGGCGCTGGCCTTGCATCTACAGATGAGGCCCGCGCCTTCTAACAAGCAGGGATGTTTGTATGAAGCCCTCCCCCCTTCTCCCCACGCCCCTGCCCGTGGCTGAGCGCCGGCGGAGTAGCCCCTGGCGGAGCGGGCGGGCACGCCGCGTGCGAGATGCGACGACGACGGCGACGACGACCCCCCGGCGTCACACTTTCTGCACGGCGTGGAGCCCCAGAAGCCTGGACCCCTCCCCGGGGACCAGCTCCCCATCGTGCGCCCTTGCCTGACTGCCCCGGGGCCCGGCGAGGGCCGAAGCCTCGCCTCGCGGTGTCTTCTCCCACGGCGCGCAGGGAGGGGGGGGCGTCTGGGGCGGCGGGCGCCTGGACGGCGACGCTCCCCTGAGCGAGGCTGCCGCCAGCCGGCACCCCTCCGCTCTCTCCCGTGAGGAGGGCGCAGAGGGCCCGCAAGCAAGCAAACGTGGGTCTGCTGTTCGGCATACAGCCCATCGGCTCAGCGGTGAGGGCGGCCGCAAGCCCCGAGCGAGAGGTCCCAACTCCCTCAGGGCCAGAAAGAGCACACAGCACATCTGCGTCTTGATCTGCGTTGTCGTCACACATCGAATGGAGGGGCTGCCCCACTCCTCTCGCGGGCAGCCGGCGGACGGGGCAGCCAGGGTGGACCCCGTAGATGCGCCCGACCGGCCTCGCGGAGCGGAGCAAGGGCTGGTCGGCCCAGGGGTTCCTGACTTCGGCTCCGCCGTGCTCGGCTGGTTCTCCGACCTCACATCGTGCGGGAAATGCACCCCAAAAACGGTGCAACAAAAATAGGGCGGATACGAATTCCGCGTCAGAGAGAGACCAGGGAAGATATTTCCGGAAAAAATATGGAGATTTCCGCGGGAATCGCCCGGGAAGTACCGCGGATCCGAAGTCCGGGTGGAATGTCGAGCACTGACCCGTCGGTGATCGGTGCTCGACGGAGTGAGCATTGTTTAACCAACCCCCATCCCCGTGGGCGTGGCCTGGGCCCCACTGGTCGATCTACCCCACCAGACAAGGATATGGGCTGCTTCCTTTGGGTTTTGAGGGGTCTATCCCCAACTGAGGGGTGGGGGGGAGGTGGCAGGGGTCTGGATGGGGATGGGGATGGGGCAGGGGATGGGGATGGAGATGGGGATAGGGTTCGGCGAAAGGGTTGAGGGCAGATCGAACGAGGACTGAGGAGCAGGGGGGAGAGGAGGAGGAGGAG